GTGACTATTGATAACGTACCTGCTACTGCAGTATCCCTACCCTCCAATGCTCTGTTGTTCCCCTCTCCCTTATACTTTGGTTGCTCCCCCGCGTTACAAAATTGTTACCCTTCTGTATCCCAAGTTGCTGCCTCCGATCCCCACAACTGACTTCCCCAGCTTCTCAACTAGAGCAGTGGCCCCTGATAAGGCGCCTTGACTTTCAGTGAGCAGACCCCTTAGGACTGACCTTAGTTTACCAACCCCAACCCCCCAATACTAAGATGGAATGACAGGCCTGGCTGATGGCTGACCAGATCGCTACCTGATCTCTGTGCAGCTCTGTGACTGACATAACACTGCTGGTTGCAGTGGACCTACAGGACTAACCATGGCCCTCCCTGGACCTGTAAGTGATACAGACTCCCTGACCCTGGTCACTACTGACTGTGTCCAAGCCCCTGCATTGAGATCAGACATTGTCCTTGATTGATTGTGCCAGTGGGAGTGAGCTGCCAGAGGAAGTGGTGGAGGGGGGTACAATTACAACATTTAAAAGGATGGGTATGTGAATAGGAAGAGTGTAGAGGGAAGTGGGCCAAATGCTGGCAAACGGGACTGGATTAATTTAGGATATTTAGTTGGCATGGACAGGTTGGACTGAAGGGTCTGTTTCCATGTTGTACAACTCTATCGCTCTCTGACTGACCATTTTTCTCCTTGACTCAACTGAGGCCGATCCCCTCCTTAGACATGGCCATTTGGTTAAGCATGTTCTGTGTCACACGCTGTAGGTGTAAGATTGACAATGCACAGCGATGTACAGTGTTGTTCACTCCTTGACTGATCACTACCAGCATCTGTGAGAAGCTGCCTGACTTTTCGTCCTGTGCTGGAAAAAAACAAGTCAGAAGCGCTGTGAGTCTGTGCACTCTGAATGAGGTGCCAATAGGCAAAAAGAGAGGCAAGGCAGAGATTCTGTGTGCATCCAAGTAGTTGCAAAGTGACTGCGTGCTACAAGAGGAAGCCAAGAGCCCTGAGATGTAGACGATACATAAGCTAGGTGCCTGTCCTGGTGTGCAAGGCGCCCTGGCAGCAGCGTTGAGATATAAGGTGTCTGTGAGTTCCAAAGTGCAGTACTGAAGTAGTGTACTTTATTCTGAGAGTCGGAGATGTGCCATGATGGTGTGGTGAGGCTGCTGTGTGTCTGATGCCAAACTCTTCCATGGCTGGAGGATGCAGGCAGTTGTTACCCTTGGAACATGCCCTGAGATCATCGTCAAATTCTGGACAAGGTGAAGGCCTAGAGGAGCAAGCGGAGAGCTGGAGATGCCAGGTACCTGCTCAGACTGCCATATAAGGAATTATCACCAGCTTCATTTTTTTTATTCACTCACAGGATATGGGTGTCCTGGCTGGGCCAGCATTATTACCCATCCCAAATTATTAGGAGTCAACCACATTGCTGTGGGTCTGGAGTCAAGTGTAGGCCAGACCAGGTAAGGATGGCAGTTTCCTTCCCTAAAGGACATCGTGAACCAGATGGGTTTTTCCTGATAATCCACAATGGATTCAGGGTCATCATTAGACTCCTAATTCCAAGTTATTTTCTATTGAATTCAAATTCCACTATCTGCAGTGGTGGGATTCAAACCTAGGTCCCCAGGACATTACCAAGATCTCTGGATTAATAGACTAGTGATAATATTACTAGGCCATCACCTCCCCAGTACCCCTCCTGGGCCACAGGCAACACTGTTTACGTGTGTATGCAGCACATAGTGTGCATGAGTTGGTGTCAGCAAATGCTGCTATGTTTAAAATTGTAAACAGTGGGATAAATATTGGCTACAATGCCAGAGAGAATTCTTCCCTGCTCTTCCTAGAAACGCCACCACAGGGATTTTTTTTTAATGTTTGTACCTGAGAGAGCAGATGGGGCCTTGTTTTAGGCATCACATCAGAGACAGACTTTCAACAGTGCAGCATTTCCTCAGCATTGCTGTGGAGTGCCAGCCTTAAATATTGCACTGAAGAGCAAAATTTTACAGTGCAGTGGAAGGGTGTCCATTTGAAATTAATCCCCCCAGTTGGGTCTCAGGCAGGGAACTTGAATGTTGAACCTTGTAACTCAGAATTGAGAATGCAACCACTGAGGTACAGCTAGCTGCAGACAATTCACAGTCATAGAATCACTACAGCAGAGCTGTTCAGCCCATTCAGTCACACCAAGCCTCCAAAGAGTACCCACCCAGACTCACTCCCTACCCTATCCCTGTAACCCCACATTTCCCATGGGTAATCTACCTAGTCTGCACATCCCTGGAGACTATGGGCAATTTAGCATGGCCAATCCACCTAACTTGCACATCCTTGGTCTGTGGGACGAAACCAGAGCACCTGGAGGAAACCCACGCAGACACAGGGAGAATGCTCAAACTCCATATAGACAGCGGGTTCTTGCTGTGTGCATGTTAGCTGCCATTTTCCCTCCATGATGCTCCTTTAACGGACAAGTACGGACATGATAGGCCTCGTTCTGCACTAAGGCAGTCATATTTCAAAATAAGCAGAACAGAGCAGAGCTACCATTTGATCCACTCCTTTCCTATGCCTTGTGCTTTGTTGAAAGCTTTGAAAATATACCTCAGTCCCAACTCCTCGCCAGTAAGAGGGAAAGAGAGTGTTTCCCCCAGCCAGCCACTCATTGTGCTGTAAAAAGTCCTGGAGGCTTCCTTCTCACCCCAGACAACATGGAAAATCCTTCACATCAACCCCCCTCGACTCCCCTAACCCTAACTCCCACTGCTTGTTGTGGACATTCCCAGTGGCTCCAGGCTGCGGCCTCGTCTCATAGAGTCATAAAGTTGTACAGCACTGAAACAGACCCTTCAGTCCAACTCATCCATGCCGACCAGATATCCTGAATAAATCTAGTCCCATTTGCCAGTATTCGGCCTCTATCCCTCTAAACTCTTCCTTTTCATGTTGTACCTGCCTCCACCACTTCCTCTGGCAGCTCATTCCATACATGCGCCAACTTCTGTGTGAAAAGGTTGCCCCTTGGGTCCTTTTTAAATCTTTCCCCTCTCACCTTAAACCAATGCCCTCTAGTTTTGGACTCTCTTACCCTGGGGAAAAAACTTTGGCTATTCACCCTATCCGTGCCCCTCATGATTTTATAAATCTCTATAAGGTCACCGCTCAGCCTCCAATAGTCCAGGGAAAATAGCCCCAGCCTATTCAGCCTCTCCCTATAGCTCAAACCCTCCAACCCCAGCAACATCCTTGTATATCTTTTCTGAACTCTTTCAAGTTTCACAACATCTTTCCTATAGCAGAGAGACCAGAATTGAACACAGTATTCCAAAATTGGCCTAACCAGTATCTTGTACAGCTACAACATGACCTCCCAACTTGTATACTCAATACCCAATAAAGGCAAGCATACCAAACACCTTCTTCACTATTCAGCCTATCTGTGACTCCACTTTCAATGAACTATTAAACTGCACCCCAAGGTCTCTTTCTTTGGCAGCATTCTGCAGGACCTTACCATTAAGTGTATAAGTCCTGCCCTGATATGCCCTTCCACAATACAACACAGCACATTTATCTAAATTAAACTCCATCTGCCACTCCTCGGCCCATCTGATCAAGGTTCTGTTGTACTCTGAGGTAACTTTCTTCACTGTCCAGTACACCACCAATTTTGGAATCATCTGCAAACTTACTAACCATACCTCCTATATTCAAATTCAAGTCATTTATATAAATGATAAAAAGCAGTGGACTCAGCACTGATCCTTGTGGCACACCGCCAGTCACAGGCCTCTAGTCTGAAAAGCAACCCTCTACGCTCTCACCAAATTCATTGCGCTATCTTGAGCAGATGAACAGTGGGTCCTGACTGAAAGGAGCTAAGCCCTAAGTCTCCGACACTGGGTTCAATCTGGTCAGCTTCAAAACATCAACTTCCAACTTACAAATGCCCTCCTTGCCTCAGGACCTCTTTCCATGTTCCAACGTGGAGGTTCAGTCAAACCTTCCATCACCTCTGGTGCCCGTCCCCAATTAGTGTGATAACTCCCGTCTGCCCTGATTGATCATCTGATACTGGTATCTGAAATGGATTATGTTCGATGACTCATTCTAAGAATGACCTGGCTTCTGAATTCATAATGTGTCTTGAGTAACACAGGGGCAGTAAGAGTTCACAGAACATTCAAGTCCACTCAATTATTCAATTCAACCATAGTCCACCTGAAACATACCTCCATTACCTACCTCAATTCCACTTCCCTTGCCCAATGAAAAAGAAATCTTAGATCTTAACACTTTTTCAATTCACTCCCAGCATTTGGTGGGAGGAGTTCCATCATGGGACAAACTGCTTCCTGACATAAACCCTTGACTCCACTGTTATCTTTCAAATGTCATCAAATTGTCGATTTGGCTCTTGTTTCGTAATAAATGCAGCGCCGCCTTCACCTTCTCAGATCAGTTTCAGTTTTGATGCGTCGACATATTGTGCTGGAAACCCATCCAACTCTACCTGCTGTCAGTGCCCAGATGGGTACGGTGGTGTTGTGTGCCACTCCAAATTGTTGCTGTGCCAGCAGGAAGACTGTGCAAGAAAAAGAAACTTTTGCCAACTCCATCTAGATGTATTCCAGCAGGCTTCACCACACAAATCCCACCTGCACCTCAAGCGCCTCACCCACACTCTTCCACTCTTGGCCACCCATCCTCACTAACTATTGCCACTCCATACCAATCAAAAGGTCAATATGCGTAATTCTTCACTAATTAAACAGCTTTTCTCTCCCCATCTGTAATCTTTGTGTGGCTCATAAACTTTCAACTTTACATTTTTGTGGTTTATTTTGCAGCAATTCCTTTAGGATGGTAGGGCAATGCTGGGAAGTTGACAACATTATAATAAATCTATGCAATACTGACCAATGTAGAACTTTTCCAATTTTGGCGACAATGACAGGATTTCTTTGCTTCCTTTTTAGGGTCCTACGTAGAGGGTCAATGGGTGAATGATGCTAGGGAGAAGGAGTTTGTCCAAGACTGGGTTGGCATCCAAGTTTACAGAAGTGGCCATGGCATCACGCAGAACAGGATAGCAAAAAGCATGGATCTCAAAAGAGCCTCCAGCACATAAACGTTCCTGCTCCTCAGTATCTTTTTTGCACCTTTGGGAAATTCAATAATGAATAAGATGGATGAAACATTCATATTGAATTGTCCCTTCATTCCTCAAATATTAAATGGTTTTCATTTACATACATACTCACTGAATGACAATCTAGTCATAAAACAAATGTTTTCAAGTTGTGATGTGATACTGATTTTATTTCTACATAAATAAATTTTACCAATGCTGCATTCAAGTGTTTATTTAAATCGAATTTAATTTACTTTAAAATCTATAGTAGCTACCATCTGAAAGAAAGAGGCTGTTTAAAGTTAAAGCTAGGTGCATTTGCCAATGGGCAGACTTGGCTGTGGGCCAGCATTCATTGCCCATCCCTAGTTGCCCTTGAGAAGGTGGCGATAAGCTGCCTTCTTGAATCACTGCATGTGCTGTGGGTTGACCCCCAATGCCCTCAGGGAGGAAATTCCAGGATTTTGACCCAGCAACACTGAAGGAACAGTGATATATTTCCAAGTCAGAATGATGAGCATCCTGGAAGAGAACTTGCAAGTGGTGGTGTCCCCATGTATCTGCTGCCCTTGTTCTTCTAGATGGGAGTGGTCATGGGTTTAGAAAGTGTTGTCTAAGGATCTTCGGTGAATTTCTGCAGTGCATCTTGTAGATAGTATACAGTGCTGCTATTGAGCATCGATGGTGGAGGGAGTGGATGTGGTGATAATCGAGCGGGCTGCTTTGTCCTGAATGGAGCCAAGCTTCTTCTTTGTTTTTGGAGGTGCACCCATCAAGCAGACGGGCAGTATTCCATCACATCCCTGAGTTGTGCCTTGTAGCTGGTGAACAGGCTTTGGGCAGTCAGGAGGTGAGTTACTGCAGGATTCCTAACCTCTGACCTGCGAGTGCTGTGAAAACTTCAGACTTCTCTTCACATCAGTGATGTCCTGGGCTCAACCTCATCTCTATCTGACTGTCTTTATCAGTATAAATCCAGAGAACTCTCAGGACAAATGACAGTTTTAGTCATTCTGAGCTTTACAGTGTCCAGTGCAGGATTGGTCAGTGCTGTGCACAAAATGGCTGCTGTGTTTTCTACATTACAACAGTGACAGCATTTCAAAATGTACCTCATTGGGATGCTCTCAAATCCACCAAGTCCTCTTCCCCTATCATGCCTGCTGTCACTGACTTGCATTGGCTTCCGGTCCAACAATGCCTTGATTTTAAAATTCTCACCCTTGTTTTCAAAGTCCTCTTTGGCATTGCCCCTCCCTGTGTGTAATCTCCTGCAGCCCCGCAATCCTGAGTTCACTGTACTGCTTGAACTCTGACCTCTTGGACATTCCCAGTTTTAATTGCTCCAGTGTAGGTAGGGGGGCCTTCATCAGCCTGGAACCTAAGCTCTCCCCTGCTACTTCCCCACCTCTCCCTTCTCCTTCAAGATTTTCCTGAAAATTACCTCTCGGGTCATGCTCTTACTCAGCCCTCTTAATTTCACCCTTTCTGTCTAGGCCTCATATTTTGATATACTGAGATTCTGTTGTGTCTGAAGACACTTTTAAGACCAAAAGAAATAGGAACATGAGTAGGTCATTTGGCCCCTCAAGCCTGCTTCACCATTCAATAGGATCATGGCTGATCCAACAGTCCTCACGTTCCTGCCTTTTCCTCATAATCCTTGATCCCCCTACTGATCAAGAGTCAATCTCATGTTTACATATGCCCTAGGACTCTCCTCCCACAGCTCTCTGTGGCAGGGTGTTCCAAAGAGTCTCAACAAGGATTCATACCTCCTAATCTCAGGCTTAAAATGGCATCTCTTTATTCCGCGACGATACCCTCTGATCCCAGACTCTCCCATGAGGGGAAACATCCTTTCAGCAATAACCCTTAAGAATCCTACATGTTTCAATGAGATCACCTCACATTCTTCTAAACTGCAGTGAGTAGAATCCCAACTTGTTTAACCTTTGCTCATTAGACAACCCCTCCATTCCAGGGATCATCATCGTGAACCTTCTCTGAACTGCCTCAAATGAAATGATACCTTTCGTTAAATAAGGAGACCAAAACTGCTCACAGTACGCCAGATGTGGTCTCACCAGCACCTTCACGGTTGCAGTAAGACTTCCCTACTCTTCCCTATCCTCCAACCTCCTTGAAATACAGACCACTATTCCATGAGCCTTCACGATCACCTGCTGTACCTGTGTGCTAGCATTCTGTGTTTTGTGCACAAGTACCTCCAAGTCTCTTTGTGTCACAGCTTTCTGCAGTTTTTCTCCATTTAAATAATGCTCTGTTCTTTTGGTGCCCCTTCCAATGTGAACAATTTCATATTTTCCCATACTAACTTCCATTTTTCAAGTTCTTATCCACTTACTTAACCTATCAATATCCTCCAAGTCAGGAATATATATTGTAAACACTTGGCAGTCCTAGTACTCATCCCTGTGGTACCCCACTGGTTACAAAGGGAAAGAACCCCTTAATCCCATTCGCTGTTTCCCGCCCATTAGCCGACTCTCTGCCCACACCAATAGTTTTGTATATTTTGACAACTTTTTTTTTGTTAACATTAAAGGTGCTACAGAAATACAGATTGCTGTTAAAAACCAAAAGAACTGCGGATGTTGTAAATCAGGAACAAAAACAAAGTTGCTGGAAAAGCTCAGCAGGTCTGGCAGCATCTGTGAAAGTAAAAA